GTCCATTTACTTTTTGGTAGTGGATTTGGACGTCTTCAAAAATCTCTCAAAATTGCCCTCTCTCGAGATCCAAATCAATTTTCTAACTTTTGAAACTAAACCCTCGAAATTCTGATTTTCTGCCCAGTAAATCCGCACCTGCGGTTGAAGACCCGCTCCTGCGCTACCGCTTCTGCGGTTGAAGGAACCGCTTCCGCGGTTTTCACAAAAATTTCTGACTCCGCACCTGTGACCCAGATTCCGCATCTGCGGTCCCGCAGGTGCGGCTAATCTTCCGCTTCTGCTGTCTCTGCTGCCTTCGTATGTGGCCGCATCTGCGGCTCCATGCTCGCTTCTGCGAGTCTGCACCTGCGTCCCCTAGCCGCAGGTGCGGTTATGACAGTAATGGAAAAGCTTCAGCTGCCAACCCAAACTCCTAACTCTTCTGTTAACCATCCAAAATCATCCCGAGGCACCCGGGACCTCAACCAAAAGCACGAACAAGTCATATACCACTATCCAAACTTATATCAACCCTTAAAACACCTAAAACAACATCGAAACATCGAATCATCATCGAATTCAAGCCTAAAAATTCCAAAATCTTCCGAATTACGCTTTCGATCAAAAAGTCTATCTAAACTCGTCCGAATGACCTGAAATTTTGCACACACGTCACATTCAACACTACGGAGCTACTCCAACTTCCGGAATTCCATTCCGACCCCGATATTAAAATCTCACTAAATTTCAAAATTTCAACTTTCGGCATTTCATGCCTAAATAAGCTACGGACCTCCAAAACACAATCCGAACACGCTCCTAAACCCAAAATCATCCAATGGAGCTAACGGAACCAATGGAATTCCATTCCGAGGCCGTCTTCAGACTGTTTTGACTACGGTCCAAATTCTAAAACTTAAGCTCTCATTTAGGGACTACGTGTCCCAAAACTCTCCAAATAAATCCTCTTGGCAACTCACAACAGCAGAAACAAATACGGGGAATGCAGTTAATAGGGTATCGGGGCGTTAATTCTTAAAACGACCGGCCGGGTCGTTACACCAACCTACTAGGTAAGCCAATTAACTACAATCCAATTTAATTAGATTTATCGAGGAAAATAAATGATAAAATAACTGAACATTTATACTTTTCCCAAGGACTGAGAGTACAAATCATGAGCTTCTAAAATTTTGACATTACAAATCTGGCATGAAATAAAATACATCATCTGTTAAAATAAATGTGAACAGATTAAAATTTCAAAACTACCAAGGACAAGAGGCAATTGTAACCGGATCGCAGATACATCTTCAAATGCCAGCTCCCGCTATACACGGCAACATCAATATCCTAAAGCTTCACGCAAGGTGTAGAAGTGTAGTATGAGTACAACCGACCCCACATACCCAGTAAATATGTTGTCTAACCTCGTCGAAGTAGTAACGAGAATTTTTTTAGTTAAAGATACTCACTGTTATAACCTGTGTAGTAAACTAGTAATAGAAACCATTATAGAGCATAACAGATAAAGGTACGATAAAAACAACTATGCAAGGCAGTAAATGATTACTAGGAGAAATCACATTAGTAAATTCATAATTTTTCTGGTATGAGAAATATATTCAAGATATCTCGACTGGTACAGTAACACCTTCGTGCATTTATCTCATTCAATTCATAACTTTTATAGTGTGAGGAATATATTCAAGATATCAATCGAATGGCGCGGTAATATCTTCATGTATTTATCTCATTCTCACCCAGTATACGTTTGTATATCAAATCAATTGGCACGGTAACACCCTTCGTGCATTGATCTCTTTTTCACTGAGCATACATATAACAATACCAACTAGGTGGGAGAAATGCCAATATAACAAACAAGAAGAAAATCATAATGTTTGCAAGTTAAACAGATAGAAGGTATGAATAACGCAACAACAATTGGGGTAGAAGACACAGACAGAACAACGATGACAAGTCACATAGAAAATATAGGTGTACAATATAATAGTTCAAGATAATGACATGAACGTATACAAAACGAAAAGATATCACAATATAATGTATGTCCCCCGTCCTCTCCCGCACGAAAACACCCTTCGTGCCATGAACATATGATAATATAAAAATAATGGCACGACATCACCCTTCGTGCTTTTACTCTCATCTTCACATGATAATGTAAACAAAATGGCAAGGTATTATCCTTCGTGCATAAAAATGTATATGAATGGTATGGAATCACCCTTCATGCTTTAAACTTTTTCTCACATGATAATAGATACAAAATGGCACGGCATCACCCTTCATGCTTTACGGTCTCGCTCACATAATAATGTATATGAAATGGCACGGCACCACCCTTCGTGCTTTACGCTCTTCCTTACCAAGCACATGTATATCTTTAACAAGCAAGGTAGGAAGCATAAATAACATCAAGGAGAGTTTTTAAGTGAATGTCCCAATTGAACATCAATCACGACTTTCAAGCCAATAACAATTTAATTAACCTCAAGTACTTTATTGTTATTCAAGTATTTCAACAAGTCCCAAAAATGATCTTCAAGTCAAGCATATAATTCAAAATCTCAAGAACAATGGTCGTAGCGATGTATTTGTGATTAAGTATAATAATGACCGCATTTAGCACATTAATAATTTTACAAAAATCCGGTCATGTTTTAATCAAATTATAATAAGCCAAATCATGATTTGTAGCATTTAATGTCATATTCATAGAAATCTAAAAATCAAAGAAGACATGAAACAAGAGTGTCACATAATTTTTCAAGGCACAATTAATCGTATAATTTACCCTCGAGCATGATTAACCCTGGCACATACATATACACTCGTCACCTCATATATGTATCGCCCCTGTATGTAGAAAATAATAACAATTAGTAGGAAAAATTCCCTCAAGAAAGTTAGGCAAAATACTTACCTCAAACAAGACGAATCCAATACCGAGCAAGCCAACCAATACTCTAGAAATTCCATTCCATGCGTATTAACCAAACTCTTCCCAGATAGCCTGTAGTGCATCCACCATAACTTTTTGTACAAAACTCCAAATGACAAATAGTTTAATTTTTTTAAAATTATACATCACGGGCTACAACTTTCATTTTTGGATCATATCCAAATTCCTTATAGATTGCAATATATAAGCCTCCAAAGTCAGGATGAACAAATTCTTCAATAGCAATTTTCGAACTCTTCCCAGACAGCCTATAGTGTATCCACCATAACTTTTTTGTACAAAACCCCAAATGAAAAATGGTTTGATTTTCTGAAAACTAGACATAAAAAACCAGCATCCAAAGTAGCCAAAAATGATCCGATAACACCCAAAACATATTCGAGGCCCCCGAGGCCATAAGGACCCCAACCAAACATACAAACAACTCCTAAAACACAATACGAAATTAATTAAGACCTCAATTCCCATCAAACTACGGTAAAACAATGAATCGCACCCAATTCAAGCCTAACGAAGGTTAAATAATTCTGACTTCTAAATCAAGTCCGATTGACCTCAAATTTTACACACAAGTCATAAACGACGTAACTGGCCTATTGAAATTTTTGGAACCAAAATCCGAGCCCGATAAACACAAAGTCAACTTCCGGTCAAACTTATGAACATTCCAAACCTTCAAATTTTAAACTTTCACCAATTAGCGCTGAAACCTTCTAGAAATATCCAAATGAAATTTTGGGCATACGCCCGAGTCCAAAATCACCATCTGGACCTAGCGGAACTATCAAAACTTCGTTATACTAAATAGTTAGACTTAGTCAACTCTTCCAACTTAAAGCTTCAAACATGAAATTCATTTCTCCGAACTTATTTCGAAACACCTAAAAACCAAAGCCGACAATTCACACAAGTCATAATATAATATACGGAGCTAGTCACCACTTCAAATGGCTGAACAGAATGCAAATGCTCAAAATGACCGGTCGGATCGTTACAATTATATATAAGACACCACCTTCTCCTACTTTATTTTTCCTTGAAACTTCACTACAATTAATATTCAACTACACTCAAAACGCAAATACAATACACAAGCTGTTGGAAATCAATCTCACTATGAGTGGTCACAAAGCAGAGAAGAAGAAAGGTTTGAAAGTCAAAGAAGAAAGAATAAGTTCGGACAAAACAAAGTAGGCTGAGTCATGTGGTCTCAAATCTGAAAGGACATATGGCATTATCCTAGAGTCTAAAGCTGGTCATGATAGATTAAATCTAGACCGTATAAGTAGGGGTGGCCGGGTCGGGTCGGATACGTTTCGGGTCAAAAATCGGTAATGCAAAAACGGGTAAAATATCCGACTCGAACCATATTTAATACGGATAAAAAATGGGTTAATCGGCGGATAAAACGGTTAACCGTATTATCCGTTCATGGCTTCACATTAGCCTCAAGTCCTCAACTGTTCAGTGACCCAGTTTTCTACTCAATAATTATTAATTTTCTTTTATCGCACAACTACTCAATAATTCTAGCTTTGTGCTTTATTGATTCAAATCTAACATGAAAAAGGTGACGGGCAATATACACACTTACTACGTATTTACGAAAAAATTATTCAGGGAATGAAGACCAAATATGTCGCCAATTTCTTGCCTTTGCATATTTACAGAGGAATATGGTCATGCTTTTGGATTCAGACATTCAGTGATGCTTTTGGGGTAAAAGGGGCGAAAATGCTTTTGGAAAGTTTTGACTTTATTACCCATGGATAACCAATGGGTACCCATATAAAATATGGATAATATGGGTAATATCCGTATTTGATCCGTTTTTAAAATGTTCATTATCCAACCCATATTTTAGCGGTAAGTGGTTACTTATTTTGTTTTATCCATTTTGTCACCCCTACGTGTAAATAACAACATAAATGTGGAGCCTTCTCACACATGTAAGAAGGTTCACACGCATGAGAGATAGGAAAGGAATATTAGTTGGTTATTTGTTATAATTAGTCTAGTACAAACATGACAAGTGTAAAAATACTATAGGATTAATTTATTTTCATTTTTCAATCTAGTTTTCTTTCACTAGGAATATATTTGTATAAACATACATTGCTTGAACAGAAAGAATTCCATCAGAAATACAGAAATTTTTTCACATTTTCCCTTATTCTTTTAATGATATCGGAGCAGTAGCTCGATCCAAGGGACAACTTCATATCTCTTCTGATTTTCATTTTTGGTTGTTTTCCATTCTCTTTTCATCATGCCTGATTCAACTGAATTCAAGCAAGTGGATCTTCAACTAGAAATGAACCCGATTTCGATCCAAGTTACCCTTACTTCTTTCACTCCTCAGATGCACCTGGTATGAGCTTGGTGAATGATGTGTTCAATGGAAAAGGCTATCAGGGCTGGAAGAGATCTGACTTGATATCTCTTTTAAAAAGAACAAGTTGGGCTTTATAAATGGGAATTGCCCAGCTCCAGCTCCTACTTCCAAAGACTTAACCATGGAGTAGATATAATGACATGGTTACATCATGGTTGTTGAATTCTCTCACCAAAGACATTGGAGACATGTAATATACTCCAAATCTGCAAGGAATTTATGGACCAGTTTGGAGCATAGATTTGGACAGTCGAATGGTGCAAAGTTATATCATCTGCAGAAAGAATTAGCTGGATTAACTCAAGGAACAAGTTACATAGCTAGTTACTTCACAAAGCTAAAACGATTATGTGATGAGTTAGATTCACTTAATTGCAATATCAAAGGCACGTGCACCTGTGTTTGTGAGGGAAAGAAAGCACAAGAAAAATCACAAGAGGATGAAAGACTCATTCAATTTCTGATGGGGTTGAATGAAGTCTATAGTGAGGCAAGAGAACACATAATCATGATGAACCATCTACCTAGTATTGACAATGCTTACTCATTGGTCCTACATGATGAAAATCAGAGAGAGGTGTATGCTAATCCTCTTATCTCTACTGAAACTTCATCTTTCATGGCAGGGAACCAAACAAATTTTCAAGGACAGACTACTTTTGCAGGGCAAGCAAGCTTCCCACAAAGAAATGGGAAACAAAAATTCTCAGGACAGTTTCAAAGAACTGCAAGTGGTTTTCAAAAGACTGGAAATCCAACACAAAAATCATCATTCCCTAAGGAAAAGAAAAGAAAGTTTAATCCAAATTTTTCATATAACTACTGCAAGAAAACAAGACATAGTGTGGCAGACTGTTACAGAATAATTGGCTTTCTAGAGGATTTTGAGATGACAAATCCAAGAACAGGTCAGGGAACCATAAGGAGTAATGGAGCTATATCAGGAGAACAGGGTGATGATGCTAGAAATTACTCTAATGCTTTAAACCAACACTTCTCTAAGGACCAATTTTCACAATTAGTTCAATTGATCAAACAAGTCAAGATTGATGATATGGGAAATCCAAGTTCATATATGAATGCTCATACAGTGGCCGGTACGATTATCAAGTTTTCTGGAACATGTCTTTCAGTTTTTAATACAAGTACATGGACTATAGATTCTAGAGCTTCTGAACATATCTGTTTTAACTCAAATGCTTTTGTTTCTTTGTCTCCTGTTCCTTTGCATATAAATCTGCATAATTCCTTCAAGGTCACAATAACACATATAGGAAAAGTTTCTATCATGCCAAATTATGTTTTGAAAATGTCCTTCATGTTCCTACTTTCAGATATAATTTATTGCATGTTGATAGGTTCTCTATTCAGTTTCAGTGCATACTCTCATTCTCTTCTACTCTATGTATATTGCAGGCCTCTTTAATGAAGAAGGGTCAAGTTTTTGATGAAGCAAAATAGGGACTATATCTTTTGAAGCCTAATGCAGTGGTATGCTAAGCTTGCTGGAGCAATGAAGAGAATGCAGTTTCATGTCATGATGTTTTTAGTCAAAATTCAGTATCTTTTCCTTTTTCTGCTAATGCAAATTATGATGCAAATATTATTAGATTGGTGCATTTGCCTTTTTCATCGATGAGACATCTCAGTTTTATTTTTTTCCCTTCAAATTCTGAATGTTTCTGTGATATTTGTCCCAAGGCTAGGCAAACTAGAAATCAACTTCCTTTGAGTCAAATTAAATCAAAGAAAGCATTGAAGTTAATTCACGCGGACACATAAGGACCTTACAAAGTTCCCACATACAATGGTTTCAATATTTCTTAATTATTGTGTGATTTTAGTAAGGGTACTTAGACCTTTCTACTGAGCACCAAAAGTAATGAATTTGAAGTTTTAAAGAATTTTTTCACGATGGTCCAAAGAGAGTGTGACACTAAGGTGAAACAACTTAGGACAAACCATGCTTTTGAACTGGGGAAAGGCACACAAGCCTTTCCTTCATTCTCTGGGAATACTTCATCAAACATCATGTGTTGCTACTCCTCAACAATACGGAGTAGTTGAGAGAAAACACAGACATCTCCTAGTGGCTGCTAGAGCACTATTTTTCCACTCAAAGGTTCCTATTACTTATTAGGGAGAATGTGTACTGACTACTACTCATTTGATTAACATGATGCCTTCTAAGGTTCTTCAAGGAAGAATACCTTACTATGTCTTGTTCAAACAATCTCCATCTTATGTTACTCTCAAGGTTTTTGGTTGTCTATGCTATGCTTCTACTCTGTCTTAGTGGGAGAATCAAATTTGATCCAAGAGCAAAACCATGTGTTTTCTAGGCTATAATTTGGGGCAGAAAGATTACAAGTTACTGGAATTGGACACAAGGAAGATTATAGTGTCTAGGGATATCCACTTCTATGAGGACAAATTTCCCTTTGCATATAATTCTATGCAGCCTTCTTCCATTTTCTCAATTATTTTTTCACAAGATGCTCAACATCCTGAGTTTTCATCCCTTGATCCTATCCTTAATCCCAATATGTCTTCCACTCCAACTACTACCACATTGCCTTCATCTTCATCTTCTCCTTCCAGCTCACCTGAATCTAGCACCCCTACCCATAATATGCCCTTTTCACCCATCTCTACCAGATTTCCCTCTCCACATCATTCTAATTCACCTAGGACCAGAATTACTCCTCAGAACGCTACACCTACTTTACCTAGGAGATTTTCTAGAGAGTTAAATGGCCAAATCATCTCAAAGATTTTGTTTGTAACAATATTTTCCTCACTGACCTTACATCTTGTTTTGCAGATCCTGTTGCGATTATGTGTGTTCTTTTGAGAATCTATCATCTCACAATCAACATGTGTTACAGTCTGTTTCACAAATCTCAGAACCTACTAGTTTCACTCAAGCCTTAATGCACCCTGGTTGAAACGAGGCAATGAATTTAGAGATTGAGGCTCTAAAGTCAAATCACACTTGGAATATAGTGGTGTTGCCACCTGGTAAAAAATCCCTACCTTATAAACGGGTTTAGAAGGTAAACCACAAATCAAATGCGAGTATTGAGAGAATCAAGGAAAAGTTGGTAGTGAGGGGGGATATACAAAGAGAGAGGATAGACTACATTGAAACATTTTCCCTTGTGGTCAAAATGACCACCATTAGATGTCTTTTGATAGTGGCTGCCAAGAAAGACTGGTCAATTTATCAGTTAGATGTCAAGTAATGCTTTCCTACACGGGGATTTACAAGAGGAAGTTTATATGAAATTCACTGTTGGATTATCACCCGCAAGCCCTAATCATGTTTGTTTACTCATAAAGTCTCTCTATGGTTTAGAACAAGCCTCACGAAAATGGTATGCTAAGCTTGTTGGAGCATTGAGTTTCAAAGGGTATTATTCTTCTATTAACGACTACTCTTTGTGTTTTAAAAGACAAGGTATTTTGACTACAATTATGATTGTGTACGTAGATGATATTTTAATCAGTGGTAATGATTTAGCAGAAATTATAACATTAAAGTCTTTCCTAAATTGTGAATTTAAAGTGAAAGTCTTAGGTAATCTACATTACTTTCTAGGCATGGAGCTTCTAAGAGAATGACAAGGGATTGTTGTGTGTCAAAGGAAGTTTACCTTGGACTTGCTGAATGAATTTGACATTGCAGATTCCTCTTGTGTGGCTTCTCCCCTCGACCCTTCATCCAAACTTACAACAGAATCAGGGACTCCTCTCTCAAATCAACACTCTACTGACATCTCGTGGGAAAGTTAAACTATTTGACCCATACGAAGCCAGATCTCTCATTTGATGTTCTTCAATTGAGCCACTTCATGCAAAGCCCCAAACTTTCTCATCTCACAGCAGCCCTTCGAGTTTTACGATATCTGAAAACAGATCCAGGTCAAGGGATCATCCTTAATACAGCCCCATACCTAAAGCTCGTCGCTTTTTGCGATGCCGACTAGGCTTCATGCCCAAAAACCAGACGGTCTGTTAGTGGCTTCTATATCGCATTTGGTGGGTTTCCTATTTCCTGGAAATCAAAGACATGCTTCTTTGTCCTTGTCCTCCGCTGAGGCGGAGTATCGTTCAATGCACAAGGTTGTCGCCAAATTAACATGGCTCACTCGCCTCCTTGATGATCTTTCAGTACCACCTTTGATGTCGGTTCTTGTTCTCTCCGATAGTCAATCCGCCATTCATATTGTACGAAACCCTGTGTTTCATGAGCTCACCAAACATGTGGAGCTAGACTGCCATTTTGTTCGACAATAATTTCTTTCATCCCTAATTTCCCTCACTTTTGTGTCATCAAAATCTCAGCTTGCCAATCTGTTTACCAAGCCGTTGTCAGGGCTTTCCCATCGTTCAATTCTTAACAAGCTGGGAATCTCGTTGTTCCCCTCCAAGTTGGGGGGGGGGGGGGGTTACTGTAAATCAATCTCACTGTGGGTGCTCACAAAGCAGAGATGAAGAGAAGAAGAAAGGCTTGAAAGTCAGAAGAAAGAATGAGTTCGGACAAAACAAAGTAGGCTAAGTCATGTGGTCTCAAATCTGAAGGGACATATGGCATTAACCTAGAGTCTAAAGCTAGTCATGATAGATTAAATCTGGACCGTGAAAATAACAACATAAAAAATAGAACCTTCTCACACATGTAAGAAGGTTCACGCGCAGGAGAGATAGGAAAGGAATATTAGTAGGTTATTTTGTTATAATTAGTCTAGTACAAACATGACAAGTGTACAAATACTATAGGGTTCTTTTATTTTCATTTTTCATTCTAGTTTTCTTTCATAGGAATATACTTGTATAAATATACATTGCTTGTACATAAAGAATTCAATCAGAAATACAATTTTTTTTTGACATTTTCCCTTCTTCTTTTCACAGGCTAGCATATGATTCGAATAGAACATAACACACTATTCTGTTTATCATCTTTGATTTGTCCCATGACAAGTTGTTGTTTGTATTTTTTCATTAATAATTTCGGAGTAAATGCAGATTTAGGCCTCATTTATTTTTATTAAGATTAAGATGTGTGAATCAGAATGCATATCTCAATATTATTATGTGTATTAAAATTAATGTCTGAATCTGAATACATATCTAAATATTAAGATGTTGTATTAAGATCTAAATACTGAATAATTAATACTGTTTGTTTTTCTACATCTGTGTGTGCAAAACTTATCTTTATTCTAAACTTAAAAAGTATAAATTCAACTTAAATAGTACTAATTAATCTAATATAATATTATATTAATGAACTATTTAAGAAAATTATATGGTGGTTGGTTCATCTTCTTGAGCAAAGGGTCTATCGCAAACAACCTCTCTACTCATCCGGAGTACGGGTAAGGTCTGCGTACACATACCCTCCAGGGGCCACTTGTGGGTTCCACTGGGTTGTTGTTGTTGTTGTTGTTGTTGTTGTATATTGTGGTTGGTGGTGATGATGGCTAACAGTGGTAATTGTGGATACTGTGTGGGTAGTGGCGGGTGGTGGTGTTGGTTGATAGTCGTGATTATGGGTAGTAGATGGTGGATTACGATAATAGTTAATGGTGACGGTGACTAATACAGTGATGGGTGATATATAATGGTGGTTGTGGTGATTGGTGGTTTTTGTGGTAATGTTGGTTGGTGGATGGTGGTAATGGATGGTGGGTAGTGGTGGATTACATTGGTGATGATGATTAGTGATGAAAGTGTAGGATAACAGTGAAATATTATTTTTACACAAATTCTTGAATATATAACATCTTAGTGATATTAAGATTTTGTTATAGATCTAAATGGTTAAGATTCAAATTAAAAAATAAATGCACTTAATAATTTGGATCTGAATAATTAAAATTCAGACCTCCATTACGTACAAACGAATGAGACCTAACTTTGATCTTCCGATTATTTTGGATATATCCTTGAAAATTCAACACTTTCTCCTTTTTCGTTTTGGATATATCCATAACGAACGAGCTTTAAATTAATTAATTACTGATATCTTTTACGAATGTGAGTTTTGTCAATGAATTAAACTCCTAAGAAGAAAATATACTTTTAGTTAGTTTCGATGCTTATTTGCAAGTTAATGAAGAGAGAAAAAAAAAAGAAAAAAAAAGGTGGAATTTTGTATATAGTAGCAGTTCATAGACTTGGAAATATCCACCGATGATAGGCTATAATTGTGTATTTTAGTCGCTTATTACACTCAAATTTACTGCACTTTAATTGAGTTTGAGCTTTAATCGCGAGTGTCTTGCACTAATTGTGTGTTTTATGCCTTGTAGAAGTGATTTCGAGCTATGTAGATGCTATGAAATGAATTCAAGTGATTTGGAGCTTTGAAGTCTGAGTAAAAGCTCAAGGATTTAAGTCGGAGTCGTATTCGGGGGTCAACGGATGATAGTTGGAACAAACGAAGAATCGAATAGGCATATTGCGCCACTGTCTAGTAAAATGCACATAACCTTTTGCTCAGAACTCCATTTGGGCACCACAATAAATGGTTGGAAAGTTAACTCAAAGGGCTACAACTTTCATGTTTTACGTTTTTCCAAATTCCAAACGGCACAGGGTGACGAACGCGGTCGAAACCGCGATCGCGAACCTGGTCGCGAACTGAGGCAGTGCACTTGTTAATATGTGCGGCCACTAGCGCGGTCACTAGCGCGCCCGCGCTAGTCCAGGCCTGGAAACTTGTCCTTTTTCACATTGGAGAAGGTATAATTGTTTGGACCCAACCCTACATGGTATATATACATGGGAAAACGGTATTTTGAGAGGGTTGGACATATTTTTGACACAGATTCGACCTAAGGAGGCAGAGACACAATAGGAGCAAGGCGGGGAATTCTTCTACGAGTTTTTCTTTCCACTTCCTATTTTTCATTGTTGGTTATGACTTTTAATATTGTAGTTTTACATACTATTATGAATAGCTAATTTGTTATCTAGGGTTTTGATGGAACCTTTTGTAGGATAAATTCTTGTTATGTTTTTATATAATTGAGACGTAGTATTTTCTCTATTTGTTCAACTATATTATTCTTGTGGTTGATTGAAGGGCCCTCAATTAGCTGTGCCTATTTAGTATGTATTACTCGGGAGAGAGTGCATATTTAGGTAGTTGTTGAACAACATCACTCTCGACGTATGTGAGGAATCAATAACCAAGGGTTTAAAGGTGGGATTAGGGATAACGATCCTTGGGTGCGATCTAAGTGAGCTGTAATTAAAGCCAGCTAGCGTAACTCGGGAGAGTATGTCTAGTAAATTGTCGTAATTACTCGGGAGAGAATTACAACACGCAGAGCGCTCATGATCGGTAGAGAACACTTAGGCGAAATTATAGAAGACATAGCGGGAAGGATTCCGATAATTGGGGAAATCATAACTCTAGACCTCCTTAATCTATCCTCCAACCTGTAGTAGCTTTAGTGTTAATTTATTATTTTAATTTGTTAGTTAGTTAGTTAAACACAAGAATCTTAATATCTATAAGTTAGGAATTGTTCAAGCTTGTATTCTTGGTGATAGTGAACAACTGTAGCTAAACCTTAGTTCTCTGTGGGATTCGACTCCGGACTTTTAGACCGGATTATATTTGCAGCGACCGCTTATCCTTTTTAGGACAAGAGTTGGGCGTGATCAAATTTTGGCGCCGTTGCCGGGGAACTAACGGTATTGTTGTAGGTGTACATATTGCTAGGTTTCGAGTTTGAACTTTTATTTTTATTTTTTGTATTTGATTTTTTTTTTGTTTTACTTATTAATTTGAGAAACATAGCATCTTGGAATTATGGAGTTTTGATGTTGGTAATTCTGCTTTTGATCCTTCTTATGCATTTAGTGGAGGAAACCACCTTGGGCAAAACTATCAAAATATTCCCGAGAGCGAGTTATGTGCACCAACTCAATCTTATGTGTGAAATGTGTGCGATATGTGTGGTGGTCAAGATGGTCACTTTCATGGTTGTGCTTATATTTCTTATCTTCCCCCAACCCCTTACTTTGATGGTTCTTCTTTTTCTTGTGAAGAAGAACCCAGGTATGAGGACCTGAAAGAGATCGAGGATATGCTAAAGTGCCTTATGGAACAATATGATGAGATACTACTACAGGTACAAAGGCAAGGGGCAACTATTCACAACTTGGAGGCTCAAGCGAATAAATTAATTGAACCTTGTAAAGCGCAACAAGTTGACATTGTGGATAGTAGCCAATATGAGTATGAATTGGCTGCAGAAATTGCCATTATACTGGAGGATTTAAAAAAATACGAGGATGGGCTAGAGGAGGAGGTCAGAGTAGAACACCAACAATCTATCCAGCTAGAATTTGAGGATGCCGATGTTGAAGAAGTAATACTAGAGTCAACCAGGGACATTAAAGATACAAATTTAGTTGATCTAGTGTGAATGATGTTGAGGATGTTGAAAGTCCTAAAATTCATGTGTTTGAGCGCATTAGTCCACACTCCAAGCATTTTTTCACATTATGTTTAGATGATGATATGGAAATAGAGTCATCCGAGCCAATTGAAGAGTCAAGGAATGAGGAACAAGGTGCATATATTCTGGAATTCTTCTTGCCAGAAAGTCAAGATTACATACCTCATACAAAGGCCAAGGAGTGCAGAATACTACATGATTTCCTTGGGCCAGTTAGATTCGTTCCACCGTCCCATGACCATAATCATAAGCTTGAATCAAAACTTGGGGTTCAATTCATAAGCTCGAGGTGGAGGCAAAAAGTGATTCACGTCGTGCCGCGACGTTAAATCAAGCGCTTGTAGGGAGGCAACCCAGCTTTATTTTTTTTTAATTTAGTTTATTTTATTTATTTTAATTGTATTATTTTTGTAGTGTCGATTTTTGATTTTCTAGGAGCATGGAAAGAAAAGCTATTGGAAGGATGCAACAGCGAAGCAGATGGTTGGAACTAAGTGTGAGGTACCCGCACGAAGGACCGGGCCTGGGAGAAGTCTGAGTAACCCATGAGATGCTAATGCTTCGGCCTTTGGCCTACCAGGGAGTTTCTTTTACCCTCTTGTATGTATGGGTGTGCATTGGGGACAATGCACAATTTTAAGTGTGGGGTGAGGAGATTGTCGGTGACTTTATATGCTATTTTAGTTATGTTAGTTTAATTGAATTTTTTTAAAATAGAAAAGATTGGACTTTTCCCGACGATAGATCTATTAGACAATTTTCTCGAGGGATTTAAGTCAAAAAAAAAGTTTTTTTTGTTAGGTAGTGTAGCAATTACCCCTTGGTTTTTCTTTGTGTCGCAGTTCTTTTCCAAGGGTTTTGTTTGAACCGGGTGTAGATAATTTTTTTGGGGGAGTAGGAGCCATTGTGTTGTGTTTGAATTGTAGCAATATCTCTTAACTTTGTTATTCCTTGAGAATAGTAAGTACTCTGGCTGTGACGCTTAGGCTCAGTTTTTGACTCTTGTAAAAGTACCTTAAATTGTATGATTTTAACTTTGCTGAACTGCTTTGACTAGAGTGTCTTGATGAAT